TTCAGTGATGGACGCCAAGTTGAGTGAGGAGCGCTTCTCCAAACTGATCACACATCGACTAACATACTGTGTCCCACAATCTCAGTCGGGTTGATAACAAAAATGGTAGTAATCTCAAGAATGCCAATATAATTATACCTCTTATTATTGATGTGTGTTCCGTGTGGAACATCAAGATTTGAGGGCACATTGCCACTACAGTGCCTTCCAACTGACAATAATGATAGTGATAACTGATTTATTACTAACAGCATGGACTTCACAGAATATCCTGAAATGTCTCATTCCACTTACTCGTCACATAAGATATCGAAGATAAATACAAATACTACGATGTCGATATTATGTGCAATGTGAAAATGAATGAGAGCAATTAACACCTAGACTGACAAGTATATATTATCGACAGAAACTATATAAGGTGGCATCTGTTTGTTGTAAGTGTTTGCAGAAAATCAACAGCTTGACGACTTACACGTCGCTTGTCTCTCACATGAAATGCCTTCTTCAAATGTTTATACTTTATCGTCTGAGGATAGAGTCGACTACACTTGGTTTCAGTCCCACGTGATGAGATGTAATGAGAGAGTTGTGAATGAAGAAGGAAATCTGAATCTGACACGAGTAAGATATTCGCGTGTTTCTTGCATGAGTTCAAGTGCCTGGTTGAAAGAATATTAGAGCGTTTACGTAGTGGAAGGCCACATACCATACTGACAGATTTCATTGTCCTTCACTGTGTCACAAAGTCATTGTCAAGCGTTCCAGGAGAGATTACATGAGAGCAATAGAGAAGAAGAGGAAGTAATTATAGAATTCTGGAAGCTCACTCAACATGCTTTTGGATGTTGAAATGATTTCAAATCGAGAACACATAACAAGCAGATCGACAAAGAAGACTATATTATTAACTAATTATATACAGTCATTCCCATCAGGAAAAATCTTAAATTAAATTAAATTACGCTCAACGGAATCACATGCAGGCCTATCAGATGGGTGTCAGATGTACAGCAGTGAGATAACCATAATTCTTGACTTCTGTCTTGGATCAAATTATTGTGCATTTAAAAGATATTTATACAAAGAAGAAGGGATTACCACGTCTTTACTTGTTTCTCCAATGGTTGCTTATCCTTGCGTGAGTACATTCGAAGATAACATCTCAAACATGCAAATTCAAGCTTTGAATATTTCTAAGATGCATTGATGATACCTTCCTTGTACTCAAATGAGACCTACACAATTTATCCCTACAGAAAATCTGAAAACTTAGTCTCACAGCAATGAGTTTACTACATAAGCACACCTCAGACAGACTCCAATGAGTTACCTTATCTAGACTGCCAAGTTAAGCGCAAACAGAATGGACATTTTGACATGATTACATTCTTGATGTAGATATGCTCCAACAAACATCCAGGTTTCAGGAGCTTCACTAACCATGATGCTGTTGAGTGATATGGAGAATTACACGTGAGCTGCACAGCTGGAACTGGCAACCCAGCTTTATCCATTTTTGATAGTCCATACAATCTTGGTATAACCGTGCCATTAGCCATCAGAGATTCATATAAACTTTCTCCGATGTTTAAGTCTCTTTAGTGACTCAGTTAGATGTTTTACCACTTTACAGTCGGATCAGTGGAAGAAGAATTTTCTTGAAATTAAAACTCAGCAGACGGACTTCTCACATTGTCCTTCTCCGCCTCTTATTAATTGTACACTCCACTTATTTCCTCATACATCTGTCGCGAGTGAATTCTGTTTGAAGACAGTGGAACATTTACATTGAAATATTTGTAGCTTTGTCGGTTGAAACCGGAGATCATGTGCGAGACGAAGTGTAGAGTGGCTTCAATGTGAGACCACGGATAATGACAACAAGGTGAAATCGAATCTTGATTTCGTATGTGGTATTCATGAATATTAGATGTGAGTGAAACTTATTGAAATGATTTGGTTTACTCGCTTCAAAAGACTCTTGTAAATTGCCCTACAATACAAGTTGAAAGAATTTGAATTTTCCTTGAGTGACTTCGGTTGAGAAACATGATAGACAGTGATGATTTAAGACAGTCGAGAGCAGATAAGATTCGTAGGCCGACAGTGGAGTGAGGCAGATACCACCAGCAGTGTATCTTCACACGTATCATTGGAGGAAAGTTACTTCTATATAAGAAAGAGTTAAAGCAAGTGGAATAACGTGGGACCAGCTGAGAGAGACTACACAGACTACACAGGGTGAAGTGGCGAGTGTTGTTAAGAGTATATTGTCGGAGTTTAATAAGCTCCACTCTGATCATCAGAAAATGTTCACTTCCATAAATATATATTCACGCGTCACACGCTGATAATATATTATCCTCACAATTGATTTCACCGGTATTCTGGAAAATCACAAAATTAATTCTGATTTTATTCTGGAATTTTCATCTTCCATTTCAACATCACTCTCTCCTGTATTAGCTTGTGTATGAAGTCCGTAGAAGGCTATTCGTAGCCCTACCTCTTCTGCCTTGCTTGGACAGCTTCAGAGCAATCTTTCAACCTCACTTTCAGAAAGTCTCAGTGTTTCCACACAAACTTAAACTTCCTGCATTCAGGTAATTAGTTTTCTTCAATTTCGCTCCCCTTGATGGCTTTTTCGACGACGACTCTTGTTTCCTTCTTGTTCTAATTAGTTGATCTCAATTTGTCGTCTATCACGAAAATTTCGCTTTTTTCCAATTTGAACTTAACTGTTATTCAAACTACGTGATATTTCCAGATTATATCCTCCATAGACAACATTACGGTGGAGTTTATCTAATTGTCGATATGTGCCTCAGGTGAGATTCATATCAGTTTGTGAACATGGTGATTTCAGCAGAGTCTGTGGACATAGACTCAGACTTATTTAGAGATATAATAGAGGCAATTTATCATGCTGTTTTACCAAAACTGATATGGTTATGAACAATATATTGTGCTTGAAACCTCCTCTTGTTACTTGTACCAAATAATTGCGTGCTAAATATAGAATGAGCATTTTAGAACGTCATTTGTATTGAAACCAGGGAAGTAGCTTTCATGACCAAGTGTGAAATTAGAAAGCATGACATTTGTGTGAGAATCTATAAAGGATTTGTTTAGTGTACACATATCAGTGAATAGGGAGCACTATTCATCTGCCCACCACCAATAATTTCTTCAAACATTTTCCGTATATTAGAAGGATTTTTATGAGACATAAACTTCTGGTTATAAAGTGAATTCAACCTGTGCATTTCTTACTGCATTAGCATGTTAGTTCTTTTTGAACCAATGTTATCCTTCATTTTTGATCACTTTTCCCTTTCCCTGCCAAACCTTTTAAGATGAGTGGAGGAGAAACCGTCGAATCTGAAGAAAAGCGTTTCTCCGTGATGACAGGTGTCGAGTCAAAATTTGAGATAACATGTAATATTTCAGATAGTGTCATCAAGGGGGTCTTTACTAAACAAGTCCTACCTTATGTCCAAGATTCTGAACATTCTCCTTAGAGTAACATACATGTACAAGTTTCTTGGACAGGTGTAAAAAGGTTTTCTTGTGTAACTTTCCATATATTTCAGGTCAAATCTGTGCAACACAATGATCAGAATTAAACAGTGAGGCTTTTTACAATCTTCGTATATCCTGGAGATATTTATAAATAGAAGATCAATCGCAGTATACAGTCAGGGCGGAAAGTTGACGACATTTTCATAACCTAGCACTGTAAGAAAGCTGCAGTCACGAGAATTTATTTCGTCTGTCACTATGGACAATGAGTTACGAAAAGAGGAGGCAGCGAAAATACTGAATTCTTTCAGCAGCCATGGATAGTTCTATGATTCTACTACATGATGTGACAGGAATGTTAGTGATAAAAACGAAGTTATAATATATATATATATATATATATATTGAGGCCTACATTTAACAGTTATACAGTCAGTTTTATCATTTGAGAATTTAAAGCAGACGTTGTTGGCAACGGACCACTGAGAATTGATAAAATTCGCAACGCCACCACATACCTTATTCTTAGAGCTGCTTCGGTCTTTTCTGTACCTAGTGAAACCATTTAGGGAGACTAAACTGTCATCATATGAATCGTGGAGCAAATTTTCTTGACGCGCTATTAAACCTGTAGCACAATAAACATTTGAAGATAATAAAGCATACCAGTAACCAATCTTGTTCGAACAATGACCAGAAATTTGTGTTCATTTAATTTTAATTTTGATTACAGATTGATTCCACACAGTACTTTTTGGTACAAGTATGGAATTTTCATCATGGATATCGGTAGCCCAAATTTTGCAGGCCGACCATAGATATCAGGTGTGCTTCGTCGGCAGGGGATCGAATCTCGAACCATGTGCATGCTCGGCGAGAGTTCTAACCACTGTGCCACCACAAGCACAGTCATCTAATGCATCAGAGTACACTATAAGGACTGTTTTCAGCCACCAAGATGCTTTTTAATAAGTTCATTAGAAACTCGAAAATCATCAGGTTGAAAACATTTAAATTAATCATGAGAGTGATAGTACGATTTGAACACACGATTGAATAAATCAAACAATTAAATTCAAGAAATCAGATACAATATACATGATGGTTTAATCAGTTTTGAAGAAAGACCATCATCAGATTGCTGAATTAGTCACATTGACTGAACTCGGATAGTCAAATAGCTTGTCACCTAAACATGGATAGTTTCGAATTCAAATCTGAAGCATTTGATTGATTTGTAATTCAGCAACTGAACTCTTACCTACTACTCTTCAGTAGTTATTTTCATCGCGTGTAAATCAAGAAAAAAAAATTATTGAACAAGAAAAAAGCATAACTTTCTATCCAATCGTTATATCATGAGAACAAGAATACCCAATGCATACGGAACAGCCAAAAACCAATCACGAAAGATAATTTTGCCTCTACAAATAACCAACTAGATAAGCATTATATCAATCAATCATCTGTTTGTCATATATAATCAGTGAATGGAAGCAACACTATAAAATGACTGTAACTGAGAGCAAGCGACAGAGAAATATGCACAAAAACATTCATATTGCAGTGATCACTCTGCTGGCATTTGTAGCCATAAACGAAGGTGACCATTTATTTATGACTTTATGTTTTCATATTCGTATCTGTCAAATCATTCTAAGTATTTTTTTTATCAGATTTCAATGTTTATTTCATCAATAACTTGTAAACACATTGCAATTGTATAAGTCTAACAGATGAGAAATATTTGAAATCTTCTCTCTCTCTCTCTCAAATGTGTGTAAACTGTTTGTCCATTTAACATGTCGTGAACTGGCAGAAGTTAGAATTCAAGGACCATTGGATCGGGTCCCAGTGGCTCAATGGTCTACGAGCTCGCCTTGTAACCAGAAGGTCCTGGGTTCGAATCCCGGTGGGTGCGTACTGCTGAGGAGTCCCAAACTAGGACGAAACAGCTGTCCAGTACTCCCAGGTTTTCCAGTGGTTCTCTAACTGATGTCAGCTCATGATTAAATCCTCCATGCATTTAACATGTCTTGATTGTCGTTTACTGCGTCAAATTTTCCAGGAAATTCATTGAAAATCAAAAAAATCAATCAATTGTTAAAATCAACTGAAAGTAAGCCAGTTTAGCAATGCTTAAACATTTTTTTCATCTCAATGTAGGTTACACGAAGTTTTCAATGTTGTAGTATAAGATGACAACCACAAAAATGTTTATCTCAAGTGTATATTGTCATTATTCGATTTTTTTAATATTCTCTTCGCTTCTGAATGGAAAATTGAATTAAAACATGAAATCATCACCTTTTCCCATGGTATGTGGTCCTATTCAGCCAGCTAAACTCCCGCCTCCTCCTCTCATGATCTTCTCAGTGTCATTGTACGACTTACGCACAACCCGTCAATTCCAATTCACCTTCCACTCGAGTGATGCCTGTCGCGTGATGTAATTCAGCGATCTCCCTAGCACATGCGCAACCCATCTCTATTATCTTCGGCGTATTTGGTGGGCAATAGTTTGTAGGTTGGTTCGTCACCTGAGTTTCTCGTTTCCAATTCATTCCATCTAACCTTCTGATCTTAACTAAGGAGAAAGAGAAGCCACCTGTTGCTAAGAGTCTAAAACAGAATGTCTGAGATTTTTCCCATGACGCGCTGTGCAACTATCTTACTCATATAGAAGCAGTGATCGACCTAACATCGGTGCTGAAAATCTGAGTAGTGTTTCTAATGCTGAGTGCAGTGAACACGATCTCCAAACTAATTTCGGAGTGATGAAGCTCCGGATTGCATGCCTGATCATGTGTGAACGCTTCCGCTGTCCATCTGCAGTAGAGGCGACTATGCACGGATGAATGGCAGAAGCAACGAATTTCCCATTTATTCCTTTCATAATGATTGTTGCATGTTAGTGGTGTTTCTGTTGTTAGTTGGTTGTTTGGTTGGTTATTACCATCACGTCATTCTTCTCTGTGTTCACTTGGAGTCCCATCTTCGGTACCTGCCTCTTCTGACAAGTTGTTGGTTGTCGTGTGTAAGTCTTCCACTCGGTGTCACATTAAATATAGATAGGCCATCTTTGGTTTGGTGTATTCGTGTGTTCGCATTCTCCACGAATGGTGTTCTGCATAATCCATTCCAGCAGAATTAGTAATCTCATTGATGACAGTAGACAGCATTGGGTAACTCCTGTTTTCACTTCAAATTCTCCAGTGAGTTTTGTATGTTATGGATCACCTGACACTTGGCTTTGTGGTTTAGCTGCTGAAAATAGTTGAGAAAGATTTTGAGTACATCATATTGTTGAATTAATTTCCATATCACTACTCAATCAACGTTCTCCTCCACGTAGGTCAAAATGATAAATACATATATTTGGGGAATCTATCAAAAATTATGCATATTTTTCAAGCGGTTTTTCCCTGTAATTTACTCCTTTGAATTTCAGATACTTCAATCGTCTGCAACACTGATCATGTTTATTAATTCAATAAAATTGTCTTCTTTTCATAGGCAAAATACCGTGGTTTTCTAATCAAGTGAAGAGTAATATGAAGAAAGTTCAAACGTTAGTAGGTACGTTCGTGTTTGTTTTTCTGTTTTTTTTTGTGCTTTCATTGATGACTAATTCGATGACTTCGACACTCATGCCATTATCAAATGATTCCTGGGTTTATTAGTTATCTTACAGGCATAGAAATGTTTGAATTCAATTGGTGTAACCATTTACACCGACGACTATTAATTATTGGTTGTGAGAAACACGACTGTGGATATCACATGGTCTATTGAACAATGTAAACGTTGGCAATATAAGCGATTCTTGTTTGTTATCTTCTTCAATAGCGGTTGAGTCATTTCAATTAGGCTATTATTGCCTTGTGACACTGTGGACATATGGTGACTTGACAAACGCTTTAACAATTCTGCATGGCTGATTGAACTTAAGAGAGTAAGTAAGTGACTAGTATCATATTTCCAGTCCTCGAGGTTGAATGGTACAGAATGAATTCTGTCATCCATATTAGTAATATGGTCACCATATGCTAGATGGTTCACTATCACGATTTAATCATTGAAAATGTTATACAACACAGTAGGATTATTCTACTTGATATAACAGATATTGATCCAATATTATCTATTTACTGATTGTGTTTTGAGTGCAATTCATTATTCATAATCACAAACCTGCTAACTATAAAGCAAAGAGATGTTTATGCTTTTACATAAAAACAGTTCACTGGTTCAATGAAATGAAACTTTGAGTTTAGCGAAGAGTCTCTTTTCGGCGAATTCACTTCCTCAGCTGTACAATCAAAAGGTTTTCAAGAGAAATTTAACAAGGGATATTCTCAGAGCAGGGTCAAATCATCTCTGAGAAGAACATTTTTTATAGCAACGCGAAGAATAGTGTTCTCCAGTCGCCCACTGATCTCCAGAAGCCTCAAGGACAAAATCCCGCATCTGACCACTTCGATGTGCATATATCAGTTCACCTGCTGCTGTGAAGCCAAGTACATCGGCTATTCGACGCGCACCCTGTCCAAGAGGATTCAAGAGCATTATCCAGCCAGCATGGTTGTGAGAAGGCGATAGTGTGCAATAATGAGTGCGATAATTGAACACCTGGTTAACTCTGATCATTCCACCTCAACAAACGTCTCTTTCAACGTAACCTACAGAGTCAAGAATAACCTGCCTATGGTAATACGGTTTCCTCTTCTCTGTATCACTGAACCTCTAGCCGTTCACATAGAACAGCGGGAGCTGTGCATACAAAAGACGATTACTCCACCACTTCTTCTGTCATTGTAACGACTTTATTGATTTTGATGACTTAATTTTGTTTTTTTCGCCTGCTCACTAATTGCTTATAATTCTTATATTCATTTAGAACCCTTACATAATTTCGTCTTCTCCACTTTGTTCCTGTGTGTATCCTGAGTGAACCTCAATCATCAAACTATTCAAACTTTTCTTTTTAGTAATTGTTTGTGACAACACATCAACTTCTTCACTTCCCTAATTTCACTAACACCTAATATTTTAACTGATTTTGTATTACGTAACTCCAATTACCAATCTTCACCTGTTTAGTTAAAATAACCATAACCGATTATATCTTTGTTTGATGAACTTGATGTTCACATGCATACAAAATAACACATATATATATATATTTGCTATTGTACAGCTAGGAAATGGATTCGCCGCCGAAAAGAGACTCTTAGCTGGACTAAGTGTTTTTTTCCATCAATGCTTGGATGGGGATTATCCATGAGTTCAGTGGATCAGCTGTCATCTTCACCGCATGAGAAAATGTCTGACTCACCTATTTATATATCTGATTTCAAAATTCATCTAATATTTATAATAGTAAATGCCATACATCTGCATTTGTGATATGAGTATCAATCTTATGGATACTTCTTCAGTTCTTAAGGAAGTGATGCGTCAAACGATTGTAGGAAACACAAGAGAAAAGTATAGCACATATGAGCTGATGAATGAGACATTTTCATAATATATGATTGTCGAAGATCATACAGTTGAATGCCTTCATACAAATGATCTCCTCGCTTCTCATTCTCTTCTTGTTCTTGTCGTTCTTTTTCTTCAAGATAAATTCGAGAGGAAAAAGAAGAAAATTGGCAAATGTAAGTGGGTCTTTCATGTTTCAATGTTGGACAACTGATTTTAGATGTCACCTGTATTCGAGACGAATACAAATACAAACATAGAAAGGAATTCGACCAAAGTACGTTCCAAGATTTATTCTTATTTATATATATATATATATATATATATATGCATGCATATTACTTTTATTCACATGACGATAATGTCAGCTTGACGAGTTGTCTTTGAAGAAAATAATCAATATTTTGAATCAAGTTTCACATCAGTCATATACACGAGCACTTACAACACTGACAACATCATCAGAAACCGAAATCTACAAAGTACACACATAGAGACTCCACTGTGAGGATAACATCATGCAGTCGTGGTTTCAAAATATTCATCGATATCAGTATATATTTAGGCAATTTTGGTGAAAACAATGACAAATCTTCGTGAATTTTTGTATTTAACTAACAAACCTCCGTCAACTTGATCACTGTGCATTCTTTGAGTATCTTTCACTTCCTACTACTAAGACTTTGAGACACTGATGAAGAGAACAACTTTGAGTAAGATGCGAATAAATAGACAATGCTTCACTTGGACTGTCACACTGTCTATGTCATTATGCCTCAAAATTGAACATCAACTTGGGGAAAACTTACAAAGAAATGACGAAAATACTACGCATTATACAGTCCTCCGCGTTCCGAGTTGAAAACATGGTCTCAAGCTCTGAATTTTAAGGTTTTAGTAATAGCAGTGTACATTTCTCAACGACGAATCTTTCATTAGAATGTTGACATGTGTTCATAACATTTTCTCATCACTTTCAGTTGTATTTAAAACTCTAAAGAGTAAGCTGAATGTATTTTAATTACCTTAACATTTTCTTAATGAATTTTTTAACGCGTTGATGTTCAGTGTGCGAAGATGAATTTGGAAATAATTTTTCGCCTGTTGCATAATCTCAGTAGTCTCTGTGTTATCAGGAATGGTTGAAAATTGACATGATGTGACCAGACAAATGATGCTCCATGTAATTATTTCATTGATGCATTCCACTGGTTACTTGATGACTTTATTATTATTGTTCTCTTGATTTCCAAGTGAAACATAGATCTTCAACACCACATCACCACTTGTTCCCATCTCTGCGATCCTATTCAGCCAAGTTAACAATTTCCGATAATCCCTCTCTCGTCTCCTCCTCACACGATATCCTCAGTGTCATTCTAGGATCCACGCACAAATCTTCGCTTTGATAGATAGCCATTCTTCCAATCATCAGGTAGCTTACCCTCTCTCCATACCTTCTCCAGTAGTAGTGTCACCAAGTCTGCTGATGTCTCTGGGTTAATTTTCAATGCTTCTGCTTGAATTCCGTCTGATCCTGCTGCTTTTCCAGGTTTTATATTCTGTATGGCCCTGAAGATTTCTGTTCTCGTCTAAGGATTGATGTCCACTGGTGGTTCTGCTTCCGCTGTCACTATCATTGAGCACGTTGTACGCGACAGTCGATTTGGAAGTCTTTTGATGTGTTAAGTCCGGTGTTTCCTATGCTCAACCTTATTGATGACTGACTTATCATTGTAATCCTTCACTGGTTTAATTTGTGTTGATCTCCACCACGATAGGAACCGAATTGTTTGGTAGAGTGTTGCAAGGTCTCATTTGCCTGCACTGCAACCTGTTCTGCTTCACTTGCCATAGCTTCAAATTATATATATTTTGGTCTTCTCTACCACTGTTACTTACTCTTTAGTTCAGTGTATTGTAGCTTGCATCAACTCCTGTTTTGATTGCTCGTCAGTGCACTGGATTGTTTCACAATCGTTCTCTTTTCTATTAGTCTTCATGTATCTGTAGTAAGCCACCGTTTGTCCTGTCTCTTATTTCTGCCTATAACGTCCATGCAGCTTTGACTCCATAGAGCTTTCACGTTGTTCCAGTACTTTTCGACGCTGATCTCTTCCCTAGCGTTGATTTGTGTCTGCACTTTTTTCCTTATATTTGCAGTGAAGACGTCCTTTGTATTCTGGTCCTTCAGCTTTTGATTATTGAACTTGACTTAAGGTCTATCTGGAGCTCTTATGGAGACAGTGAAGTTAGCTAGTGATAAGAGTCTGAAACAGAATGTCGGAGATGTTTCGCGTGATCAGCTGTAAAACGGTGTTACCCATATGAAAGCAATGATCGACCTAACATCAGTGCTGAAAATCTGAGTAGTGTTTCTAATGCTGAGTGCAGTGAACACGATCTCCAAACTAATTTCGGAGTGATGAAGCTCCGGATTGCATGCCTGATCATGTGTGAACGCTTCCGCTGTCCATCTGCAGTAGAGGCGACTATGCACGGATGAATGGCAGAAGCAACGAATTTCCCATTTATTCCTTTCATAATGATTGTTGCATGTTAGTGGTGTTTCTGTTGTTAGTTGGTTGTTTGGTTGGTTATTACCATTACGTCATTCTTCTCTGTGTTCACTTGAAATTCCGTCTTCGGTACCTGCCTCTTCTGACAAGTTGTTGGTTGGTGTCACATTAAATAGAGATAGGTCATCTTCGATGCTTAGAACTTCAGGATTCTTCTGATCGGTTGAGAGTGGCACAACGGTTAGGACTCTCGACGACCATCCACATGGTCCGGGGTTCGAGGCCACACCGGCGCACACCAGATATCTATGGTCGGCCTGCAAAATTTGGGCTACCGATATCCATGCTGAAAATTCCATACTTGTACCAAAAATACAGTGTGGAATCAAGCTGTTACCAAAAATAAAAATAAAAAAAAATGTGTCCCTACTCTCCACGAATGGTGTTCTGCATAATCCATTCCAGCAGAATTAGGAATGGGAGCAGATAAATCCCTGTAAATACTGTTTTCAATTCAAATTCTCCGCTGAGTTTTGTACGTGTGTACGTATGGATCCCTTGAAACGTGTTATTTTCATATAGCTTGGAAGAATTATGTCATTTTAGAAGTATTCGTAGTGAAAACATTCCAAGGGATGATTGATTTCTGATGTTGAATATACACAATATGAAACTGTCGACTGCTAGACATAATCTCTCAATCTGCTGAACTGGCAATCTTTTCAATTTGTTTGTATATTCTAAAACGCATATGACTTCTTGGTTCTGAGATAGTTGTTGATATTTTTCACGAATTTACTCACAGGTGTATACAAGAATGAGAAATCTCTTTACGACTGTGTAAAGGCAGAAGCTAATGAGTACAAAAGTGAGTCGAATATTCCCTCCCCACCTTAATATTTTCTTATTGTTTCGACACAAACAGTTGTAAAGAAAGTAGTACTGAATGAATTCATAACTTTCAGTAGGAGGACTCGTCAACTGGATACTGCACTACATACACTGTTATTATTAAAGTTATAAAACGCAAAATAACTGCTCACAGAATATCCCTTTCGATAATTTCCTCTTCTGGATCTGCAGTTATACATGTATATATAGAAGTTTATCTCAATGGAATATTCTAGAATAATAGTCAATAACAATATTAGTGCTTTTAAATAATGTGGATTTGTAAAGTAAGATCAATAGAATTGCAGTTGATTAAAGATGCCTAAACCATAATAATAATATTGGTGTTTAGGATTTTCTTTTGACTATATATATTTAGATGAATAATAAAATTCGAATAATTCTGCTGAAGAAGCCGTGACTTACACAGCGAAACGTTAAGGAAAATCTTGTTTTGAACTTTTTACTAAACACGCTGATATTAATTTTAATAATTTTAATGTACTAAATCCATATGCTTTTTTTTCACTTTATTAGCTCTGTTATAATAAGTCTGATGTCCTAACACCAGTATATCATGTGATGAGTTCTCCTAACTTAATAATGACCTTCACAGATTATCACTCACTACTCATAGATCGCATATCGGCTGAAATTCATGCTTTGATGTTTATCGTCGCAATGTTCTTGTCTTTCTATATATATATTTAACCTTAAAAGGAAATTGTATAAATAACAAGGTATGTAAGGGAGTAATCAGCAAACGAGTCCTTCTACTAAAATTTATGAACTCATTCAATACTGCCTCTTTCACTACACTTACTGACTTAATTCAGCTTTGTGGTAAGAGTGTGAAAGGGATTTATATATACATTCATAATACACACAATTAAACGATAGCTGCATTCTTCATCACAAATCTACTCTATTCCTTGTAATATCTGATCAGATAAAGGGGTGAACTTCACTGCCGAAGAATGTAAAAAATATCTGGTGGGAGTGAACGATTCAGGTGGTCTAATTTAATTTAATTGTCTAATTTTAATTTCGAATATTAATCTTAATGACAGTAGGAATGTTTCGGAATAAATTATATAGTGATGGTTGATATTACTGTTAATAATATTATTATTATTCTTATGCCTTTAAATATATGCCAGCTGTAATTCATAAAGTCACCAGGTAGACTTCATTGACATTCAGGTGTATTTGAATCAGAGTTCATTGAAAACTCCCTAGTTAGCGGTGGTCGATGGAATTCGGTGATTTCACTAAGCAATAGTTTAAAGAAAAAACGACCCGAAATGAGTCATTTTTATTTCTCCACATTTACAACAAGACCTTCACTGATATTCTCCCATTGTTCTTAGGCATTCCAAGTATATTGTGAAGCCGTGGATCATCACTGCTTTGCTTCTCTTTACCAACCTATCTCGTCTATCTCTGAGTCTGACAGTGGTGAGGAATCTTAACAACTTGCCCTTGAAAAATGCAGCTAGCGAAATAGACAAGGGGTATAACCTGAGAGATTTCCGATGAAAATTTACTATCAGACATTGATTCGTTTTCCGTATAACGTGTAAACCACCAGTTGGCAGGAGAATGACGCGCAAATGAATCCTGTAACACATGATTCACATGCGAACAACATAAGAATTTTGTCCGTATGTGTATGTGTGTGCATATATTCTTGTAGTATCTGCTTGAAGACCTGTATATTGTGAAGGATATGTCACCTGATAATCACGTAGAATGATGATTTCGTCGATGTACTGAATTATCAAGAAATTATTTCCCATATTAGTCGTTGTCATTGGATTACTCAGCCTAATTCATTATGTATAATGAGATGTAAATATTAACAAATCGCCTACAACAAATTTCAGATTTACTCAAAATGAGTAAACTTTTAGATAAAGAATATCTGTACAGGGCAAAGTTTGCTGCTTCAATCTGTAAGTGAAGTTTTCTTTTTCGTTTTCGACCTCCTCAGTTTTTTCTCTTTTTGCTTCAGTATTCCTACAACTCCAACACCAAGAGAAAAATTAACTGAAATAGCATAAACCGATCTCATGTGTTATGTGTAACATTCTGAATTCGTAACACAGGATTTGATTATGACATCTTACTTAGCATTAGCAATGTTAATTTGATAATGAATATGCGAGCCTTAAATAATGAAATCGATTTCGAAATAATTGAGTTGATTTGTAGCTCAGGTAAATGATTTGCAATTCATAGTGTTCTCTGAACTGGTTAATTTAGTTGCAGAGCTTTTGTCATCCTCTTGAATATCACCTTCAGTACAATTTTTAGCAGTTCAAATTCTCCATGAGTGATAGAATTGCGTCTCCCGGTAACCACAAATCAGCTGTGATAAGACATGATATACATTCTTTCATATCAATGCAGATAGATAATTGTGGACATCACTTTGATTGGGATAATGTCGTAATGCTAAACACAGAAAACACCGAAAGTGCATACAGAGAATTCCCAGAATCCTGAAACTCAAGTGAATCCGCCAGTGATTAACAAACATGCTAATATAGACCAAAGTGTTTGTTTCCAGTGGTTACCAAAACTCTTGCATAGAAGAATCTTAACTCAAAAGGACTACACTGTCTACCCTCTTGCTACAAACTGATAGTTTACGTTTTACAGGTGTTATCTGCAAGTGGATACCGTCACAACATGCGAAGCTTCTTACTGGTTGTAGATGCAAACTATTCCATCACACAAGTGAAATTTGCTCGAATTCATTTGAACTTATCAAATGTGGTTGAATAGACTGACACGTCACAGAACACTGTCAGTGTTTATTGAGTAGCTAAACGATATTATCATCACTTCACATTGTAGATTTGGAAGGTATTCACAAAATTGCAATCAAGAATTTGAAGCGTAAGTTCTTGATATTTGTAGTTATGTGAATTTGACTGATGGAATAAGCTGCCTTCGCGGAAGTGTAGCTGAGACTTAAAGCAGTGTAAGAGATAGCAGATATTATGAGTGACGGTGTAACAACAGAAGACAAGGGCCAGGCAACAGATCCTTTATTGAGGAAATCAACATATATTTACAGATTTTCATGTCCATATTATAGCCTATTGGTAGCAGAAAAAACACAGTCTTCTGACTGGTTGTTTCTCAATGGAAGTTAATTTTTCATCGCATTGTGGCTGTTTCTTGAATGTCAGATCATCTATATGTTAACTGTATCTGCCTGCGCAAAGTTTGTTTTAGTTGGTTGTTGAATCAGTCTTTGTTCATATATTTCTCACAACCAATATTGGGGACGAAGATAATGACGTAGATTAATGTCTACCGGTTTGGCTAGCAGCCAGCTCTCACCACAATGGCACCATAATTTCAGCAGTTACATTATATCGGAGATTCTTGATGTGTTCAGCCTATCTTTCACACCCTGTGGTGGAGAACACCGACGCAAAATTGGAATATAGCTGTAAATGTTCACATTTCACATGATACGAAATGAAACGAACAAGAAGTCCAGCAAAAATGTTGAACTTTCCAACGATTTCATTTTCAACAGCAGCTAAAGAGTCACATTCATATACATGAGTTCACATAACAACGTGAGAGATTAACAGTGATGGCGATTCTCAACTTGATGTGGAAGTTTCAAGGGGGGAATACAGGTTCTAAGGAGGAGGATATAAACAAAATCCCACAGGATTAGAAATTGGTTGTAAAATTGTTTCTGAACGAATACAGCCATGAATGGAAGCGCGTCTATTCAAACATGTTAGAAAACACTATCCAGCATAGCTTCAACGAGAAGAAACTAGTTCAATGCAAAGCGTTATAACTGCACACCTCATCGACATCCCTAACATCATTTCGACTGATTCGTTTACAAAGTAAACAAAATTTCTCCCGGAAGTTAGTGTGTTTGCGGCTTGCATATAGTGCGGACGGCATAATCATTTGAATGCAAAAGCGAGAGCTGTATGCACAAAAGTAACTAGTACAACTGCCCCATTTACCGCGGATCAACTTCGGTTCGACTGATTGAATTTTAGATGTCTGTTTTTCACTGTCCCCATATTTTTCACCTTAAGTAATTAAAGCTAATAATCCAATTGATTTCCATGCTTCTTCCGTTCCCACGTATATTCGTTCAGAAACAATTTACAACCAATTTCTAATCCAGTGGGATTTTGTTTAAACCCCGTCCCTCGAGAATCTCTATTCACACCTTGAAACTTTTACATCAAGTTGAGAATCGCCATCACCCTTAATCTCCTACGTTGTTATGTGAACTCATGTACATGAATGTGACTGTTCAACTCCTTTTGATAATGAAATCGTTGGAATGATCAACATCTTTACTGAACATCTCGTTCTCTTCTCACGAATGTCCTGATGAGTATCTTCCATGGATTGAAATAAATGAAACCGACGTCCTGCTGGTAACCGGACTAAATTTCTGATCATATTTTATAGAATAATATCAGGTTCATTTACTCAATTAATTCCTAAATGAAATGAATCTGGATTACATGACTGACTGAAACCATATCAACTGCATTGGTGAATCTTCATTCCATTGTAAGTTTATAATTCTCGATATGAGGGAGAAGATAAGTGGATGGTGGAAACTGATATGGTCATGTTTATTCTATTCAGAACATTCGGCACACTCTCCTTCAACACAATATTCATAACAAAATGGAAAACGTTCACTGATTGAATATGTACATCATTTCGTCGTTATTTTTATATTTTAAGCCTTTACGCTCTCAGTAGAACATAGGGCTACAATCTAGGGTGCTTAGACGTTTTGGTAGCAGTGGTGTTTAATTTTACGGGATTGGGTTGCTAGCCTCATGCACAACCTTCCGTCTTTACCAGTCTTATTACTGACTAAGTGAGGTAAATGAGCGCTCATCTGTGGCCGGGATTACGACCCCAAAACACCTGCGTGGTTCTGGAGTATTGAACCGCTTTGACGCCGACGAACACTACATTCATATATATATATATATATATATATATATATATATATATATATATATATATATATATCAATATTATTTACGGTTTATTTTTCCTATGCAGAAGTAAAGAAAAGCACCTTGAAGAATAGAGTCGACGTCTTCATCGCACCTGCCATCAAACCATAAATCATTCGTGGTAATGAAGACATACAAAATGAGACGGTTTTCATGAATGTTTTTCACATAAACATATTTGTTTAATCATCTTCTGTTGAATAGTTTTCATTGTTCCTAGAAACTTGATTCCTATGCTTTCCTGCTTTTAAAAAAAACATTTACTATGACTAGTTGATGATAAACTTTGTCCCATTCCATCGCTGTTTCTTTATTAAATAAAAGTTAATTAATGAAATAGTGAAATAAATTTAGTGTTTTGATGAATCTTTAAAATTCTGTGGGGTTTTTGAATTTCCAATACACATAATTTAAGTGTTTAACTTCAACACCACATCAACGCCTATTTCCAAGTGTCGATCGATAATACTCTGAATATATGGAGGCGCTGATTTGATGTCGTTCAACATCAAGATATTGTGACTTTAGAACAATTGGATGTAGGTTGAATGAGATTTCTTTTTGCTATACGCAAAAATTTATGGTTTCACGCTTTGTTGCATCCAATCAATGGTAACTAATTTCCTAATGAAATGGATACAGTTCATGTCACTTTAACCGGATGCGTTGAATAAAATACACAAAATGAGCTAGAGAAGTGGCACTGCTCTCTTACCAATAATGAGGCTTGAGTGTGGAAATCGGTTTGAGTGAGTGGCAGTGTAGGGTAGTACGGAAATTGATAACACAATGAATGCATCCGAAATGTAAGCTGAACTATAACGCGTCTGTTCAAGATAATCCATGAAGATATTAGCCAAAATAGGTTCCAGAGGTGAGTCAATCACCACCTTCTGAACTTGTTGTCAAAGCCGGTTTGTTATATTTGAATTTCATGTCTTATGTGCAAAGAAGCATTAGAAGCCTAGTCTGTGTTTTGGATAGCGATAGTAGATCTGTTTGTTCGTAGAGGATATGGATTGTTTGCATCACTGGTGTCTGATAAGATACCATGAGTTTACTTGATGAAGATAGACATGATCGACGTCTTTGGTAAATTGATGGATATTTATCAAGCTATGAAATGCAAATGCGATTGGAATGGACTCCAGAATGGACTTCATAGAACTGGTTTGCGAAATGTCGAGTTGATCGCTGCAAATATGGGTGTCAAGAATACACTGGACCTGTGGAATTTGGCTAGATCGCATATAAACGGGAGGAACCCATTTTCTTACCTGAGTGCATTTTGCATACAGTTGTCAGTCAACATCTCCATGTGTACTTTGAGAATGTAGCAGCCAAATGCTTTTGTTTATCTTCTTAACACAAGAAACTGATATCTATGTTCCAATCTATAGTCGAAACAACTTCATTGAGACACGTGCTATCATGGAATGTTTCAAAGTCAGAGAAAATAAGACGAGTCTCCAACATATTAGTTGTTCTGGTAAAGGAGAATAACATCAGGTCTCAAATTTACTTGAACAGTGCTGTGAAGCAGCTATCCGGGCAATGCATGTTTCTAAATACGAAACAAGTATTGTAAGATAAAATTAGTGAATCAAGTTTAAACTGTGAAGGGTACGCTAGAATCCAGGAAAATATTCCCAATACGAAGCAATCAAGAGCTGTGTCCATAAGAGTCACACAACAGGACTACAAACGTCACAATCACCTTCATTAAATGGGACTAAATCATGTCGATTTATTACACATTGCCAATGTACACAAAACCACAAAGAAATATTCCCTTTTATTGCATTTATTTCCCCGGATTTATTTTATTTTAATCATTCAAAAATGTGTCTAATTCGTGTTGTTCAATCTCACAGTTATTCAAAAGGTTTCCGAAAGGCCGATTCAATAGATTCTAATAAAAGGAATAGGAAGCTTGGGCATGCATGCCTGGGAGGTTTAAAGAGTAGTCAAAAGCATTATCATCAACTTCCATTTTAATTTGCTTTGCCCCTATATAATTCCTTCAACCAATTATTATGACCTACAAATTACACTGTCCATTGCTGCGTAGTTTCGAAATCTCTCTAACCTCTCGTTTGGAGTCATTCTCAAAAATTGAGGATGAATCACAACGGTGGCTGGCAGCGGCTTCCGTTTGAACTTGAAGAGATTAATCATTTGACTGTCACCGAATTAGTCAGCATTAACTGCATATCTATGCTTGACAATTGCGAATACCTACAGTCTTTAATATTCTCAAATTTGTCTCAATATACTGGCGTTTTAGTTATTCAAGCGACTTGCTTGCACCAGTCGAATGGCGATAATCTGATTGCAATAAATGGATGCAGAGTTTTCCACCACGATCTACATAGTTCAAAGAAAAAGCACAACGGAGGGGTGGCTAGCTGCTTGTACCAATTCAAAGTGAACTACACCTAATCATGTTTATCTTAAGTTTTCCAATGACAATATAGACTGTCTCGCTGTGAGAAGTCGTCTGAATGACTGCATTTTCTGCATTAACCTTCGAAAATTCTTCGTCAATTTTCTGTAGGGAATTCAATTTGCGTGATCACAGCCTTCTCATATCACGTGTCCATGAGGATCTGGCCAAATGCAATACCCATCTCGACAGAAACCTAGACTTCGCCTTCTAAAATGATCGTGAAATATACGAGGTGAGCAGGACAGGGACAGCTGCACTGTTGAATTCTCACCACTGTATTTTTCGTATTTTACCGAAAGTGTGTAGCAAGTCATATAGAAGGCCATGTGTTCGTCTAACAAACAAAATCCAATAACGATCCCATTCATATGACAATATTCAGGCACTCAGCTGTATTTTACTTGACACTGATACGGAAACATTCCTTGTTGAAGTGTCAGACGTTGATGTCTGAAATATCACTTCTTATCTCGGTGTCCTACTGAAACACTGTCCTTTGGATTCAACAGCTATTCTTATGCACAATTCTTCTCCAACCAGTCACAATAGTACATTATTATTATCATTATTATTAATGTTTCAGAATGAATGAGACACGCGTGTTTCATGAGAAACCAGTGTGCTGGCTGAATACTGATTAAAGAAGATTGAACAGACGCATAAATGCGTACAGAATGAAGAAATATCTGTGTTAATTCACACACACCAACTAATGATATAGAATGGTCAGTACAAGTGTGCAAGTTGAATAGAGATAAGTAGAGATTATGAACAACCTAATAATAATTTGATTTCACTAAAGCGCAATTGTCGACAGAATGAAGAAATATTTGTTCTATTTGAGGTCAACATCCCGCCTTGTGTGACTTTTCAGTATGCATGAATCATTCTCATTATTTTACTTCAGAAATATTTCAATTATAACAATGATGAAAATCAAAGCTTCATTCCAAAACTGTAATTTTGGCAGAAACATCCATTTTCAGCATTATCAGCTCAGAGAAGCAAAATTAGCGATAGGAATTAAGATAGTGTGTGTGATCAAGCAGTGAGATCAGTGGAAATCGGAGCAAAGATGATTAGTTCAGTTTACTGTCATATCATACTGATCCACCTCACTTGTTGCATGTGAGATTAGTTAATGAACTAAATGAAAATTAAAGCGTCTTGTATACTCAACTCACGTGTAATGCGCAAACGCGAACGCGACATTCGTCGTGAAGTACATTGTAGGCTCCGAATGACGCGATCACTGTTAACAACATTCCATTGAAACTGTTCGCCAGAAGGAAGATGAAACAGATTTACATCAAGTCATGTAATGAGTGTCAATAATGTGCAGACAAAGTCAATCCTGAATGATTCCTATACAATCTCCCTTCCGACAATAATGAAGTGAAAACAGGTAGTTCACCGATGAGTCTGTTTTCAGCGAATACACTCACAAAGCTGTACAATCAGAATCATATATAATTAATAGTGTATGCCTGTGTCCGATAAGAATGCAAATCAATCAGTCAAGCTAATCGTCTTGGCAACAGTCACCATAACGCATTTCATTCTTATCACAAGAAACCTAATCTACACAGAGATCAAAATATCATTATACATAATTGCTAATGTACAGCTAAGCGAATGAATTCGTCGTGGGGGACGACATCAAACCAACAGTGGGAATGTCATGACAGACATGCATCACTCTGAAATCAGTGTGAAAATATCCTGAACCACGCTGCGAAGATTACAGTATTCAGATTTTCAAGACAAGTGTTAAGTCAGTCAACGACTTGTTCAATGTGTGACGGAAGCATGGCGAGTGAATCACGGAAAACATTTCCGACAGGTTACTTTTGGTAAAAGCGTTGAAGACCTCAAATTATTTTCCTTTAGCCAGAGTAGGAGGTCTTTAGTACCTGCAGCCATCTTACACAACAGTATCTTCTCATCATTGGATGAAGATGCCAAATACGTCCGCTGTACGTTTTTCGACTTCACTTCTGCTTTCGACTGTGTACCTAGATGTCTCATGCTAAATAAGCTCTCGATGAAACAAGCTGTGTTCTAGGTCATTAACTGCTTGCATTCCTACTTTTCAAATAGAATGCGGTATACCGCATACAAAGCCAAATCCTTCTCTGCTGTGCTCACTGAAGCTAGTGTCCCCCAAGGTGCTGTACTCTACCACTTCTCTTTTCTACCTTTCTACATGACCTCCCTACTTCAAATTACGTTAATTTTGTCAAATATGCTGACGACTTGACTGTATCTTTGCCTGTCAAATTATTGACATTCATTACATGACTTGATGTAAATCTGTTTCATCTTCCTTCTGGCGAACAGTTTCAATGGAATGTTGTTAACAGTGATCGCGTCATTCGGAGCCTACAATGTACTTCACGACGAATGTCGCGTTCGCGTTTGCGCATTACACGTGAGTTGAGTATACAAGACGCTTTAATTTTCATTTAGTTCATTAACTAATCTCACATGCAACAAGTGAGGTGGATCAGTATGATATGACAGTAAACTGAACTAATCATCTTTGCTCCGATTTCCACTGATCTCACTGCTTGATCACACACACTATCTTAATTCCTATCGCTAATTTTGCTTCTCTGAGCTGATAATGCTGAAAATGGATGTTTCTGCCAAAATTACAGTTTTGGAATGAAGCTTTGATTTTCATCATTGTTATAATTGAAATATTTCTGAAGTAAAATAATGAGAATGATTCATGCATACTGAAAAGTCACACAAGGCGGGATGTTGACCTCAAATAGAACAAATATTTCTTCATTCTGTCGACAATTGCGCTTTAGTGAAATCAAATTATTATTAGGTTGTTCATAATCTCTACTTATCTCTATTCAACTTGCACACTTGTACTGACCATTCTATAT